GTCATAGATGAAAAGGGACAGATTCTCCTCAGGGCACTTCTTAAAAAGGAGACTGTTCCATTCTGTGCCAAGCAAGTGCTGTTCACAGATCCTGGCAGGAGACCTTGAGGGTACTGCTACATGACCTCACCACTCTGTGGCTGTTCTATATATACCAGGGGCAGGCAATTATTTTGGGCAGAGGCCGCTTACCCAGTTTTGGCAGGCTGTCGAGGGTCCCATGGGTAGCCCCGCCCCTTGACAGGTGCCTCGCCCGCTGGTCACCATCTTGGGACCAATGTCCCAAAGTCAACCAATGTCCCAGGGCCAGCACCGGTGGGGCCCAAAGCAGGGCACAGGCTGGCAGGGGTCTGTGGAGCTGGGCTGGGCTGCACCAGCAGGGAGAGGGGGGAGCCAACCCAGCTCCATAAAGCCCCTGCCAGCTGGGACCCCACACTCCTGCCACCCTGCTCTGGGCCCCGCCGGCAGAGACCCCGGGGCACAAGTGCAGACCCCGTGCTCCCACTAGCTCCCCACCCGCTCACACCCAGTGCCCTCCAGCTCCGCGGTACAGGCGGGGGGCAGCACACAGCCCTGACCCCCTGCTTGCCAGCAGGGAAGAAGCTGGTGCTGAGCATGGGGAAAAGCGGCTCCTCCCCCACCCCATGGCCAGCATTCCCTGCTGCAGCTGCTCACAGCCCACCCCATGCAGGCTGCAAGCAGCTGCAGCACGGGGCGGGGGAGGGAGCCGCTTCCGCCTCCCAGCTCCTTCCCTGCCTGGAATCCCCCCCGCCCTTACCTGCGCTCGGGGCAGCCACATGCTTCTGGCTGGGGGGGGGCCAGGTAGGCTCCCCTGTTGTTGGAGCCTGCCGGGCTTCCCCTGGGTCCTACTGCCCTTGGTTCCTGTCATTTTTGACAGGAACAAAGGGAAGAAAAATATTAATTTTCTACTTTTTTTCTTTTTTTTTTTAGGGGCCCCGCGGGCCGTATTTTGTCCACTCCTGGTATATACCAACCCACAAGATAGAGGCAACAGCCACATGTCACTCTCTGGCAAGAAGCTACAGCAACAGAGATATACCCCTGGATTAGGATGAAACCTCAATAAGCAGACTTGCATCTAATTAGGAAGTGGAGCTCAAGCTCCCTTGACCATGAATACACTTGCTTAGTGCCAGGGGCTTGCAGTCAGTCAAGGACTGCCGTACAAATCATGCTGCTGTTCACTACAGCAGGCAGAAATAGCTGATACTTGTCTCAGACGGCCAGAGCCGACTCGAGGTGATTTAGAAATTGCTCGTTCGTCAGGGCGGGCTGGTGAATGGAGAGGCAGACAAGGTTTAATGGTTGCAAAAACGTTTACTTACGCCGCTTGTAGTTGCGACGCAGATGGTCCAGTCATCTGAACAACTATGTGAGTTGTTCCTGCTGGCGAGGCCCAAGCCAGTTAATCCGTCCGCAAATCAAGCCGGCAGGAAAAGGATACGTCTGGGATTGCGCTCCGCGACGGGAAGAAAGATCGATAGGTGATCAGTCTATCGATTGGCAGCCGCAAGTCAGATCTCTTTAGAGGCACTCTGCAGTGTGCTCAAAGTTCTTCGACCTGGGCGGAAGTCGCACAAATTTTTAAACGGCTAGCTAGCCAATTACTAGCCGCTACGTAGGAATAATTTAGCACTGGCCAATAGCGGGACACAAATTTGCATTCGAATAGCGGGAACTCTTTGCACCGTGCATTTCTGTGCTGCAAGGAAGAAGTGCATCCTGCAAATTGGCGGGAACTCTCTTGCACCGAGGTTCTTCTGCTGCAACAGAAACCCTCACTGTGCAAGAGGCTCTCATGTGGCAAGAAAATTCCATCGTGCCGAGGCACCAAAATCACTGGGTTGTGCCAATACTGTGGTGCAAGTGGTCTGGTAATCCTTGAATTAACAAAACAGTACAGGCCCCTTACACAGGTAACAATGGTGTCTGTATTTGGAACGCATGGGACGCACAGCATGGGCACCTGTTATGCAATAACAAGCACAATAACGTAACACAGGAGCGTCACCCGCAGCAAAATGGAACAAGATGATGTGCTCTGCTCTGGATGTGTTAAAACAACTCTAGCTGGAGAGGCAAGTTTCTTCCACAATGTTTTATCGGACCAACTCCATCACTGGGAGAGAGAATCAGACAAGCCTTCAGGCATCATTTTGGCTGGGACAGGTCTCCCTGCCAATAAATAACCACATAAGTGGCCAGTTTAGAACCCCTCAGCTGGCAGGCTGGCCTTCTTTACAGACCACTCAGACCACACTGCCCCAAGTAAATGCTAATTTCAAGTGCCAGGTTATGCTGAATGAGGTCACCCATACCCCTTTACTCAGGCTCTGCAACCCAGCGAGGGAAAAGATTTAGCCTTTCTGAATGGTCACCTCACTGTAAGCTCAGCTCTACCTGGCCACAGGAGGCTGCTATCAGAGAGGTGGGTAGCTGCATTAGCCTGAAGTTGGGCACAGACTTGCTACAATAGCCTACCTCCATCATATTATATGAATGGACTGGCCAACCCACTCAGGAGGTCATTATGTGTCTGCTTTTCTCAGCTTGTCCCCTTACTATTGCCATAAAGCCAGGTTTACAAGCCACATGCATCCTGGGGAAATACATTTTGGGCCCTAATGCCACACAGCTCTGATTCTGGGGAGTCATGGGGACTTCACTATTTATCAAACAACCTACATGAAGCAGCACAGAATGAACTCCCTGCAAGGCAGCTACAGCCAGAGCTGACTAGGATGACAATTACTTTACCCTCCTTTTCATATTTTACCCTTCTTTAGTTTCTCAGTTTCACTGACATTTCAGACTTCAAGGCCTTGGGGACCCATCTCTTGTAGGTGGAGAACGGGTCAAGTGAGCTCTATAACTTCACCCCCCACCTGCAGGGACACCAGTTACATTTCCTCCTCTCCACCTCAGCTCTTCTTCAGAGGTCAGATAGCTCCCTCCTCAGCTGTCACAATAACTCAGAGATGTCCAAGAAAGCAGGCTGATTCCATTGACAACCAGGTCACATCAACCCACCACCTGCTGGGAGCACTGCACTCTTCCTACATGGTTTTGCCATTTTCCCTCCAATTAGCCAAGCCATTTGCTTGCTCACAGTAGGCAGACATGGTCACTGCTGTATGCAGGAGAGTGCATGGAGAGACACCTGTAAGACAGCAGCTCAGACAGAGCCATAGGAAGACGGACCATAAAGATTCAACACAGGATTACAGACACTGTACAACAGCCCTCCAACCAACTCCGTTTAAAGAACTGACAGTATTGAATGGGAGGGGAGTGATCACTGCAGCTAATGGAGAAGCAATCCTAGCCAAGAGTCATGCTACCTGAACTGTCCTTCTGCGGAGACCAGCCTGCTCCTTTTGGGTTTACCTGGAGCTCTGTGTTGGTGAATGTGTGTACAAAAAGGTGTTGCTTCAGAGAAGGAACTTCACTTCATTTAAGAACAACACAGACAGATCCTGAATTACTGTCAGATCAGTAAGCCTGGAAGTGCGCCTGGGCAGGGACTACACAAAGAAGCAGAGAGCAGGGCAGGGTACAATGGACACGTGCTGATAAAGAGAAAGCTGCAAGTCAAAGAGCAATAGGCTATAAGAGAACTCTGTGTCACGGGCAGTTGACTTACTGAAGCTGCCAGATAATGAAAAGAAGCTTCTTAACAGATGTTGCACCATGAAGGAGGTCAGTGGCGAGAGATACTGTAATTAAGAAGTGCCAAAAGGCAGTAGTATTGCACAGCAGATATCAGATTGGTAAAAATTCCTGGTTCTAGTATTGTAGTATACACAACTGAACTTGATTCAGTGCAATGACACTAGCAGAGGGTACCTATGAACATCACGTACCCCTGTGTGCAGCCACAGACAACAACAGTGGCTAGCAGGATGACTCTATTTATAGTTGTAGAACTCTGAAGATTTTAAAATTAATTCCTATCAAATTGGGGAAGAGCTGGTATTCAACAGCTAGGAGTTCAATGAAACCTTGGCTCAGCCCAAGAGACACTTCAGACTGGCAGTAACATACATACCAATTTTCATTATGACGACTCTCAGTTCATAGACATAAAACACTGGTACATACACCCCATGCACTCACAGGGGCAAACTGAAGGAGCAACAAAACTTCCCTTATGCTTCAGTGGGCAAACTGACTTAAGGGAGGCATAAGCTGTGCTCTACTAATCCTTCTTTTCTGTTTACTGGCTTCACACGTCAATACTGGAGAAGACAACAGCATATTCCTGGGTCAACAACTGTTCTTGGGGAAAATTAGTTCTGTTTTCAGAAGCAAGGGGGAAGGGTAGGTCTGGATCTACAAAGGCTTGGAAGCTCTCACCCATATAAAGCCTCATGCTTTCAGTGCACTCTACTTGTCCAAGTGTGCATGCCAGGAAGCAGGGGAAGGAAAGCTAGAATAACCAGGAAGCTATATCTAGACAAGGAATAGGGCATATAGGGAAGTGGGGAGCTGGCTGTGCCACAGAGAATTGCTCCCAAGAGCCAAGATCTGCACACAGAAGGCAGGCACAGAAGAGAGCAGCTCAATCACAGAAAACCTATAGCAGGACAGGAGCGAACCTGAGCAACAGAGAATCCTAAGCCACCACGAAGAGGAACAAGAATAACAATTGTACTGCCACCTGGTGAGCATACCTGAGTCTTCTGGGACAGTTTCTGTGCTCTGGAGCAGCTGCTGAGAGGGAGGTGGCCAGTTACCTGTCATGGAGAGGACCGTGCTGATTTTATGAGAAACACTGTGACAAGGTGACATCTAGAGCTGAACAGGCACAACGAGATCCAAAGCGGCAGGAAAAGCTTTCCAGTTTGGTAACAAGATCACAACAAGCTTATGGAGTAAGGAAATAATAGGACTACCAACATGAGGCAGGAAAGAGAGACAACCAAGTGTAGAAGGGGCTTGAAAGCAGCAATGAAAGAAGCTGAGGAACCTTGTGTAGCGCTATGGAGAGCTGTGAGCACAATCTGTAGGCATTTTTTTAAAACAAAAAGATTTATTGTACAGTGCAAGCTTCTTTGTACAAAAACTGTGGCCATTTATCAGTGCTAATCATGTGGCTGATGATTAACGAACAGCCCAGCCCCAAGTGAAGCTCACAGCTCACTGTGAGCACTGCCAAGCTGCAGAGCAACATCCCCGACACTGAAGAAGTACAGCAAATAACTAAGCACATTAAGATGTGTTAAAATGTTGCAATAGAGCAGCACAATCTCACCTCCCCTGGGTCTCCTAAAAGGGGGAAAAAAATTAAAAACACACCAAGCGCTAAGATGCAGCAAAGTTGTTTACAGATGCCTCAGCCATGTGTGAATTGAAGCTTCCCAGCTGTTGAGCCTCTCTAATCCCTCAGTATAAAAATCCCAAAGGAGAGAGCCTCTCAGCAATGTCACTGCACTTTTCCTTTTTTATGAACTGTAAAAATGCCTCCAAGGCTTTTCCTTCCAGTCACTGCTTCTTCAGAAGAAAATATCCTTTGCTTTGGAAGGAAATGGGATGTCCTGAACAGGAGTTGGTTTAGTACGAGTTCATTGATTAGATTTAATGTCATTTCTTCCACTTCTGCTTCATATCTTTGTTCTTCTTAAATTTCTTCTGTTGCTTTGGTCCTTTTTCTGTTTCTACTTTTCTCTTCTTTGCACTGAGAAACAGGAACAAACACCGGTTAAAGAGACACTGGATTCCTATTCAGCCGGGAATGTTTGTTACCGAAGTGGAGGTTTGCACAGAAACCTTTCTATGCAAAGCCTGAAGCAAAGGGGCTAGGATGAAACCTGCTCTCATTTGTGTCATTAAAAGAAAAATTACAGAATGCACTAACAATACAACCTATATTTTCCAGCATCCTGTGACTCTGGCCCCCAGTTTGAATTGCCATAAAGAGCCCACTCTTTAGAGGGTACATACTATACAGCTTTTTAAAGGCAGGATCCAGAAAGACACCTCAAACTGGGGCACTCAGACTTAATTTTTTTTTAAATTGCATAGCTAGGTTTTCAAGTACCTAGCAAGCAATCCAAGCACTCAGGTCAGTCTGGGAATGGATGGGCCAAACATGACCCACCTGAGAAATCCCCCAATTATTCCAACAGCTTTTGGGACCATTTCCTATTTCCATAGAATGGGCAGGGACTCATTCACAGCTGCCAGTATTTAGAGAAACAATGTGTGTGGGCACAAAAGGCAGAAGACAAATGCAAGAAGGGACAAATAATTAATTCTGCCTGGAGGAATTGAGGCGAGTGGGGAGGAAGGGTGGGGAAAGCTGCATTTATGGAAGTCCCCATCCATAAATCCACAGGGGAAGAGATCCAGAAGGGGACTGTGTTGAGATGCATGGGAGCTGAAAGGAAGAAAGAGGATGAAAGTCATCATAAAGGGAAACTGATGTTTTCAACTAAGAACTTGATTGAGGGAGTCCCAAGAGTTCCAGAAGGATTAGACTCAGAGACACGAGATTCATTCACTCGTCCTGGGGATGCATTTTTCCTGTGGGAATTTTCATAGGTTCCTACTTGTGTCAAGGGGGAAGACAGACAAAAATAGAACAAGGATTTTAATCCTAGCAGAATTACCCACAAAGGGGAAATCAGGGGACAAATTACATGCATGGCCAGACTGAGAAACCTGTTGTATTAACTAATTAAAGGGTTGAATTATGAGCCAAGGGACAGTCCTATCTTCCCCACTGCAGAGAGATAAAAAGTGGGGAAAAATGATCTTCAAGCTAGTTATCCTCCCAGATCTTTGCTAGAAACCCACTAAGAGCAACAAGATATGCAATTCCTTTGCTTTTAACTCCTCAGTTTCACTGCATATAATAAGGCCTACGGGAAGGCCTGGATCTGTTGGATTTTTATTTCCCTAACCTTTTCAGGCTGATGATGGATGTGTCTTTTCCAGCTTTAGTCAGCACCTCATCCCATTCTTCATCATCGCCTCGGATTACATATCTGAACAAGGGAGATAAAAAACAATAAAAAATGACCTATTCAAAGGAGAGGAAATACAGTTAATCACACTTCTGTCAGACAACAGCTACCCTGCAAACAAAGCCAAAGCTTGTGTTAGCATTCAAACAGAGATGCATTCAGACAGTGCAAGCGAGCAAGAGCTGGTTCAAAGCAGGATGAGCATGGGCAACAGGGCACAGTCTGCCATGGCCATGTCAGTCATTTGAATGCAAATTAGAACAGCAGTAATCAAAAATTCCCACCGCCCAAAACCCTTCAGTGACAAATGTAGTTCTTTTATCTCCCCTTAAAACGGACGTTATCACCCAACTGCTCCAATATGGTAGCCTTGTCACAAAGGCTGGTAGCTGAAAGGGCAGCAGGCACAGATATACTTATCCCCTTCCAGCATCTGGTCAAGGCTACAATGACCCTTGCAAGTCTCCTGTGTGCATTTCACCATGCTCCACCTTCAACCTTTCTAAGGATACAGAAAGTCAGTCTCCTTGGCTTTCAATCTGGCAACAACCAGATCAATATTCTCTATTCTGAAAGAGTACAACGGCACAGACAAAACATAAGAGGAGAGTCCAACATGGTACAGCCTTTCTGCCAGTGGCAACATGTAGGGGGTGCTGAGAGCGCCGGTACACCCCGATTGGCTGTGCTTGCCAGTTAGGTGACGGGCGGGCAGGCAGGAGCGCCAGTGCCAGCTGGGAAGTGGTGCTCCTGGAAGCCCGCCCCCCCCCGGTCAATGAGATTGGCCACAGGGGAACCCCCGCCCCGGCTGCTGACTGCTTGCTGGGGGGGCATGTGCCCCACCGACTGAAGTGGCACCAGTCGCCCATGCTTTCTGCACTATTTCAAGAAAACCCAATGGCTTCAATGTTTCTATTGATCACAGAGGCAAATTCTGTTTGATTCAGGCTCGTGTACTGTCCCCCTCATCATAGTATCCAAGTAACTCAGATATAACAGGCAGCTTAACTAAGCAAAGTAACTGCAGAGCAAAAATTGGAGTAGCTGCTCTTTCTTGCCAGGCGCTTCTAGAGTCTCAGTGTAGAACAGTCTCTACTAGTAAGGCCAAGTGACACCGGATAAAGCCATTACATTTCAAACAACTTTGTCTCTTTCACAAGAGTTCTGTAACCGGCCTTCAAAAATATCCAATAAGGATATTCAATAGGAAAGTGGGCTAAGGATATCCAATAGGAAGTAATTTAGCAAATACACATGCCCTTGCGACACATGGAAACAAAGTAGCCAGAGCATTTTAAAATGTTTTACTTCTCTTAGATTTAGTAGAGGTTGCCAAAGCAGACATTACTATGCCAATATTATCAAAAGCCTTTTTTGTTTTGGCAGAATGGAGGAAAGAGCAGGGAGGAAAGCAAAGCAGTTCATGGAGTGCCTGTTAAAGCTCCAGCAGATGTTTCTTCATCCTGAGTAACCTGCTGCTTCAGCAGTTCAGTAACCTCTGAGTTGACTAGCTCTGCAATGATCTAAGAGTGTCCAATGTTGAACTGACACCTTAAACAGGAAATTTCAAGCAACTTGAGGTATGACCCAACAGTTAACCAGCACAAATTAGACAAATAACGACTGAGCTTGTTAGACAAGAATGCTCTCATTCTAGCGTCTGCTTTGAAATAAGAGACTAGTTGAGCAGGAGATGGGAGCCTTAAGTTGGTTCGAGTAGCACTAGGACCATTTCTATAGTTTAAGGAAAGCTAATGATTGCTCTTTGAAGCATGGGAAGCCTCCAGGAATTAAGAATGGCCCAAAGGCAGAGACAGCTCAAGGCATTATCTGTACTACACGACATTCTGAGGAAGCCCAAACCAAGATCGAGGCGAGACACGCAGCAAGAGCAGTCTACCCTGAAGAGGTTATTATCTAAACAGGAAGAACCAGTAAGTAAAAAACAAAGAGAATGAGGATGGCTCAAGTTTACACAGGCAGAACTTGGACCAGCAAATAAACAACACAAAACTGAAGATTGAAACCAGCACATTCATTCTTATGACACACTGCTCAAAGATGGTTAATGCCAGCGAGCAGACATTTTACTACTGAAACCAAAATTTATAATTGCAATTTGGCTAGAGTATAAAATAAACCAGTTGCCAGCAGAGCCAATAAAGACTAAGAATGGTTGGTGATTAACAGTCTCGGGAAACAGAAATTGCTAGCTGCATTTATTAGATATTGCAGAATAAGTCTGTTCACATTGACTTCATTCACTTGGGCTCCAAGGTGCACAAGGCTCAAGTTTCAGCCTGACAATATGGCTCAGACATCTGCTATGCTGAGTACAACCTATTGAATATTCCCACCCCAAACCCCCATGCACTGCACAGATGTGCTGCTCCTAGACAGTGTGTTCAAACCAGATGCCTGAAAACATTTGCTGTGCAAGTCATGTGGAAAAATTCTTACTGTGAAAGGTCCATTTCCTTCAGCTTCCCCATTTCTTGTTTGTGTTTTTCCTGAAATTCCCGTGCTGCTTCTTCCTGCAAGCAACACATCCCAGAGAAATGTTAACTTTTAAGCAGAGCAGTGGCAAAACATCACACGGCATGTCTACTAGGTCAGAAATTACAATGCCTTATTCTTTTCCTATCCCCCAAAGGCAGTTCACCTTACAAAGAAGCCTTCCACACTTTGAACTGGGTGTGAAAGACATCCGCACTTTTAATATAAATATTAAAGATGACTGTGGGAGGATCTTTACACTACATTAGCACAATATTAATGCGCTGTTAAAGCTTGCAAAGTTCCATAATTACCATAAAAGAACAAAATAGGACACACAGGACTTCCTACACAAGCACAGACACCATTCAAACAGCTCTTAAGTTAAAGAAAACCCATTGGAGGGGTCTGACACACATATTTGAAGTTTTAATGGTAGGATCAACATTACCAAGTCATCGTTTAAAGACTTCAGAGTTGGCTCCATTACAATGTCCTTCGTTGCTGCCATCTGCTCCTCTACAGCTTTCTCCTGGATAGTGCTGTACATCTGAAAATAAAGGAGTAAATTAGCATGCAACAGGCTTATTGTTGTTTTATCAGCTAGGTGTTTTAAAAGCAAATTAAAAATACATTGGCTACCCCAGTGAAACTTCTGCAGCCCTTAGACTGCAGAAACCATGAAGGTCAGAGGCCCATCTCCTGGCAGAGAAAGTAAAGACATCTTAATGACTCATTCAGGAGTTATTGCTTGCATATAAAAAGGAGTTCTTCACTGACACAACCCCAGGCAAGTCATTTACTTTTACAGGTAAAAACCTACAGATTTCCTTTCTTTTATATTATTTCTATCTAGTCACCTAAATACGATTCCATGCTGGGCAAAACATCTGAACAGTGGGTGACTTGTAATTAAAGATAAAGAAGCTCTGCCTATGAAGTCATCAGAGGCTAACTTTGAGAACTATGAGAGAACAGACTGGTTACGGGACTGGAATGGACAGGGGAGTCTTATTTCTGTGTCAGTCTGTTCTTCACCTCATAATAGCATGGGACAAATTCACAGCCATCTGAGAAGTGATCTGTGAAATGAGCACTAAAAAGTCAGGTTCCTTGTAGCACCATCCACCACAACTAGCACCCTCACTCAGTCTCACCAGCAATGCCAGGGAGACTGAAGGCCTGAACCAAAGCCTTTCTATTGGCTTCAAGTCTGCCCCTATGTGACCCTCTCTGGAGAGGGCCATTCTAAGGCAAGGTGCAACACTAACACAGCGGAGAAGAAGCCTGTATAACTTGCTGCAATTAAAGGACACTAGAGAATGCACCCCTCTGGTCAGCACCATTCATCATTATAAGCCATCCAAACTGTATGAAAGATGTATACAGCTAACACCACTGCTAGTCACCTCCTTTTTTCACCAAGACATTTCTGCTGCTTACAGACATAAAAAAAACCCCAAAAACCAGCGCTTTACTTTAAACTTGGGGTACCCCTGTGCTGAGTCCAGTGCATGCCCAAAAGAGGCACTGCATTAGTTAGACTTGGCTCACCCAATGTCTGTATAGATCTGGTGCTTCAGTGGGGCTTTTTTTGCGCTTTTATCTGCTAGTTTATTGAATCAGCTAGTAGATAAAAGCACCAAAAAGCCCTTCTGAAGTGTGCAATCTAGACAGATACCGTGGAGCCAGATTGAAGTAATGCAGTGCTTTTTCTGGTAAAATGTGTTTTGTTTTTTTTCTGTCTGTCAGCAGCCTTCATTCACAAACAGCCTATACATTCCTTAAGGGAGACTGAGGTTACAGAATACTGAGCTAGATTCTTAACACTGCAAAGCTTAGGCCTAGAACTGAGTCTGACAACTCCATAAGCCAAAGCTGGACGAAGATGCAATTACCTGGACCACTTTGCGGATAATCCTGTTGAAGAGACCCATCAGTTGACTGCTGGGTAGTTCTAGCTCCTTTTCCAGCTGGTCCAAAGATTTGTGTTGTAGACCAATCCCTAGGAGAAGGGCCTACATGGCAAGATTTTTTTAAATGCAATATGTATATGTACATGTACACACACACACACACACACACACACACACACACACACTGCCCCACCCCTCTACAAAGCATACAGGTTTGAGTTTTGTTCAAAACTATTACGACTCTGCCAAACTGCTCTACCTTTGATAGTCAGAGCTCCCTACTGAAAACAGAAATGCTTCCTGATGCAAGAGGCTTTGGCTACTGTTTGCATAGTACTAGATGGGCACATGATGCTCTGCAGAACATGGAAGAGAAGAGGATCTGAATTATTAGATGCAGAAACAAACATGAAGCATGAGAAGACAGCACAGACAAGGGAAAACACAGAAGGGAATACTGAGGAGGCAAATCATCTGAAACTGTAGGTCTTAGAACTGGAGATCTGACAGATGTGGTGCATGAAATGGGAGATTATTTCAAATAAAAGACAGCATAAAAGTAGAATAGGAGGCAAGATGATCAGCTCCCAGTTACAACACTACACTGAAGTGGGAAATTGAAGCCATAAGCAGGGGCTGAATCTTTAAGAGCTACTCAGTAGATGGAAAAATACGAAAGGGCTAGGAAAAGAAGGAGGGGGTAATTAAAGGCAGGTGGTCCATACCGACTGTACAGCAGAGAGAGAGATGTCTCCTAGCTGGTTAAGAAAGTACATCCTGGAGATAGTGGGAATCATGTCCATGATGAGGTGATAGTCCACCATGTTTCGAGAGTACATCTCTAACCGCTTGAGGTCATATGGAATGAAGACAGTGTCCAGTTCAGCACGGTCGATGACTGAGCAAGCCAAAAAGAATAGGAAAATTGCATTCTGTAGTTCTTCAGGATTCTGGCAATTAACAGCTCACTTTTAACATGTGCCAGCAGCTGCCCCACACAATTGCTTCCCAAATGAATTTATAAATAAAAAATGCCAGGATTAAAACTGTAACTACCTAATTTGGGATTTCAAATCTCTCCATGGAACAAGAATTCCTTTACCAAGACTCACACCCATAGATACAATCAAATGGGTCAAGGGAGTCTGGCATTTTCCTAACCCTAGTAAAAGGGTTAAAGAACGAGAGCCAGCAGAAGAAAGCCTGAAATGGCTCTTCCTACACTGCACCAGTCCTGCTGGCAGAAATTTTTGTTATCCAGTGCTGGCAGCCTGGCACCTTTCACCCACTATTTAGGGAAAGTCACAAAAAACAGAAACTGAAACAGAGCAATTACTGAGCTCTCAAGAGGTTTCTTTGGAGCTCGTTACATTCAAGAAACAGCAGTGTGCTTTCAATAGATTTTAAGACCAAAGGAGATTAGTATAATAATCTAGTCTGACTTCCTGTATAAAACAGGTCACGGCTACATCAAAACAAATAACTCACGCTTGAACTAGAGCCTCTTTTTTAGATAGGCATCCCATTCTGATTTACAAATTTCAAGTGGCAGGGGTCCCACCATGGCCAAAGGTAAGCTGTTCTGGTTGTTTAGGACCTGCTTCCCACCATAGCCTAAGGTAAGCTGTTCTGGTTGTTTAGGACCTGCGCTGCTGAGAGGAAGCGTCTTCATCCCACAGTTTGAATGTGTCCAGCTTCAGCTTCCAGCCCTGGATCTTGCTATGTTTGTCTCTGCTACATTAGAGAGCTCTTTTGTATCTGATTGCCAAAAACTCTGATTAAACAGAACCTCTGAACTAAGCAAGGACAAAGTTTTCACTTGGGAACACAAGCCTATTTTTGGATATAGGAGGCAAACACTATTCACAGTCTACTACCAATTCTGCATCGTGCCTGGAGTTTTAAAGAATCCTGTGATAAGCCATGCAAAGAGTTTAAATCCCCAAAGTCAGCACTAGAAGCCTGAGCACTCACGGGGTTGCAATGGCTGCTTGATATTCTTGTTCTGTAGAATGTTCAATGCTAACGAAGGGGAAAAAGTGCTGAATTGATATGAGAGCAGAGACAGGAACCGCCTCCTGAAATCTGCAGAAGACAAGACAATAATGGTTACTCCACTGCTGTTACAAAGGGGACACTGAGGTTTCCTCTTGCCCGACTACAACCAGCCCAGTTACCTTTCCAGAAAGCAGAGAGCCAGTGCTCCTGCTCACTCTCCTCTTCACTCAGGGTCTTCAGCATGATACACGAGTGCTCACCAGTCAGGTCATTCTAGGAACATAGACAGATTCTCATCACCCCTGTCACCACCCTCTGCTTTATGCATTCAACTGGTAAAGACAAAGACAGATAGTGAAACAGGAAACATGCTTGGGTTCTTTTTACCTAGGGTAAAATTCAAGAGTCTCTCTTACTCAGTCTTTTGTGTTGACACAAGCTGTATTAAAAGTCAATGACTACTGTTACTGAATTGTCAACCTATCAGCTTTAGGCATTTGATCAACTCCACAAAGGGGCGAAGCACTGTTATTACTGATGAGCTACCTAATTAAACCAATAGTCCTTGAAATCCTAGCTATACTAAAGGAAAACAAATGGAAAATGCTGCAGTGACACTCAAAGCACAACTGCTAGACAAGCAGCTTGACTGGGGGGGGGGGAACAGCCTGCTGCAGAATCCAGGGTTCTCAGGCCCCAGTGAACATGGCAATTGGCAGCAGGAGGGAGAGTAAGGGCCGACAGCTCCGGCAGCTCTCTGGCCACTTTGCCCATCCACACCTTCCTGACTGCTAGCACCTGCCGCATGCCCTATGCTGAAGCATGTGGCATGCAACAACAGCTCCAGTTTTGGCATGCAGACAGCCAGAGCCCACAGTTCGGGTAGGAGTTGCTGCTGTGTGCTCCAAGAACTGTTGCCACAGCTTCCTCGTGTTGCAATCCAGATCCAGCCCACACGGGGCCCCCACAGTCCAGATCCAGCCTGGGTCAAAAAGGGACCTTGAAACTGGATTAGATCATTTGCATTCACCGACACCAGTTACACGTACTGACCTAAGCACTTACAGCTAAGGCCCAGGGTTTTTGAATCTAAACATACTAGAACACACTAATGATCATCACTACAACTCTTCTGATCCCTAAGACAGGCTAGTCCTGTTACTGGAAACTATAAACCCAATGAACAACAAACTCCTGACATACTCAAAAAACCCCCCAAAAAAACTTATTGCCCAAGTCAGATCCCATCAAGAGTTAACAAAGCCTTCCACTGACTTGAACAGGAGATGGATCAGGTTCCTGAAACAGTACGATACTTACTGGAGTCTGCCTTAGATAAACCGGTACAAATCCAGCACGCTTCCAAAATCTGGGGGAAAGAAAATAAGAAAAATGTAGCAGAAACTACATAACCATAATGTTATGGTTGAAATTGTGAGATTTGGTGATTAGCAGATGCCACTGACTGCCAAGTAGATTAAAAAGGCCCTAAAATATCATAGTGACTTGTAACAATGACCACTGACAGACAGGATACACCTATGACTCACAGACATACTGAGATAATAACCAAACAAAAAGATTAGGTCATAAGAAGATGTACACAATGTGTATGTCAGGAATAACTGGTACATGTGGTAGTAAGAGGATGGCCTGCAACAGGCCATACTTTCGGGACCTTATAAAAATAGATTTTGATGAGCAAAAGCACGCACTTCTGAAGGATTCCCTCAGGAAAGCCCTAAAGGCCCCTGCTTTATTTCAGAGGCTCCATCTTTCATTAGCACAACTTAAGGATCCCTTGGCTCAATGACATCTAGACCTCAGTGCATCAGCAGCAACACCTGCTGGACCAGAGAGAATCCCAAATTGATCTGCACAAGATCCTGCCCTGTTCTCCCTTTGAGTTGCTCTGCTCTCTCCTGACCAGAGCCTGTGATTGACTGCACCATATAATTTGAGCATAACCAGATGATGGACCAGATGAGTGAAAGAGAGACCTGCTGAGACCAACCAGATGGTGTTCTGGACTAGAGAGTTAAACCAGCCCCCACAGCAACACCTGTCATGAGAACCTGCCTCCCTAAAGCATAGGATGACAATGCAGCTACATTGGAAATGGTGAATTTCAACAGGAAGCTAGGTTTTCGTTGCTTTTCAATAACCCATTTCTTTTCCTTCCCCTATCTGTCCTGTTTAAAGCAGGAATAATCACAAAAAGCAGCAGCCAAGTTAAAGATAGAAGAGACATTAACAAATACCTTGACTTTAAAACGGGAATATACCTAAGTTTTTACCAAAATTCAAGAATATTTTGTGCATGTGAACAGTCAGGTGTGATTTGACCCATTAAATATTTTTCATTCTCTTTCATACACCCAAGCAGTAGCTGCCAAACTGTGTATGGATTTACATGGGAACTAAACAAGCCACAGCTAAGCACCTTGAGCTTCCTGGACCCATGCATTACACCATACACATCAAACGGGACACTCCTGGCATGAAGAGCTCTCCAGATCCTTTATACCAGCGTTTCTCAACCTGTGGGTCACAACCCAAAAGTGGGTTGCAAGAATATATGAAAGGGTCGCGAACAAACTTTAAAACAATGGATCAACGAACTTTAAAAATGGATTCTCTTTTAAAAGGAGAAAAGTATGGGAAACTGTGGCTTTTCCCTTGCAGGCTGGCAAGGTTCCAGCCTGCAAGGGGCTGCTGGGAGCCACCCCTGCCCTATACACTACACTGGGGGGCTGGGGTGAGGGGCACTGGGTTGGGACTAGCCATTGATGTTTACAGGTGGGTCCTGGTACAAAAAATGTTGAGAGCCACTGGCTTATACAGTAAGCGTGGACCATCCTGATAGCTGTGCCATTCAAGGAGCACACTTGGATAGTTTGTTCCTGGGCTAGCAATGGAAGGGCTGTCTATTATTCTGGACAGAGCCCACCTGAATTGCAAGGAGAGTGCACATGAGTGGGAACTTGCAACTGCTGCCAGATTTATCAAAGATAAACAGGAAGAATTTATGAAAGAATAATGGAAGCCTGAATAGAGAAGAGAGATGAGGACCAAAGCGAAAAACACATTCATTTGTAGCAACTCCCTCAATCTCTATTTAGTAGAGTAGACCATGGTGGATAAAAATTAACAATTTTTAAGCAAAATTAAAAAAAATATATATATTTAAATCAGATTTAATTGTTCTTTTGTATTTTTTTAAGATGCTTTTAAAAATAAACATATATAAAGATAATCTTACTTTAACATTTTAAAGCTCAAAGATATCATCATGGAATATGGATTATAACTTCTAATTATATCCTATTTGAGACAATATATTCATGTAACCTTTTTAGAAGTTTTATAAATAGGTCAAACAGGCTGTGGACTATATTAGGGGCCCAATCTTATGGGGTTCCCAGAGGCTCCTCTATAGATTAGTAAAGATTAAAGAAAACCACTCTACCCAATGGGACTCAGTGCTCAGTCTAGAAGATCCCATTAAGCATCTCTGTGATACTTAGTTTCAGTTTCTGAAACTGTGGATTTCTGTCTCCAGAGATCATAGACACAAGGTTCTTTGAGTAGATGCGATATCTTTTATTAGACCAACTAAATAGTTGGAAAAATTGTTCTCTGTAGGCTTTCAGGCACAAAACACCCATCTTCAGGCACAGGGAGAGTTTGTTTTCTCCAGAGATAACATCCTTGTTAACAGCAGTATATGGAGATGAGTGATAACAGACCTGATTATTACCCACCCATCAGCCCTATTATCTCTCTGAAAGTTTGTGTACACAGAGTCAAGCCCTTACCTTTCTCTGAAATTGCAAAGTTTCAAGAAGTTAAATGAATGAAGGATATCTAACAACAAGAATGTACTTTTTGTAGAAAACAATGATTAAACCACAGCTTCCTGACCAGCGATTTAAACCAATTCGATTTAAATCAAATCCACCCTGGAGTGGACAAACATGGTTAAAACTTACTTGAGCAGCCGGGGTGTCAAACCATAGGATACTCCTAGATAATCCAGGTTCTCAGCTTGTCTCTCACTCAGTTTGAGAAGTAAAGGAGGCAAATCTTTCCGAGGGGTCAAAACCTCTTCTAACAAACTAACTGCCTGGGGGAGAAGAGCAGACGAGTTAATAGAAAAAGGTTCTCTCTCACTGTGATCTGCAGGCTTATTCACTAGGTAAGTAAGGGGACATATATTTTTATATTTACATTAAATGTTCACTTACACCCCCCCCACACACACTTATGTGCAAAGCTGCATGAGACCAACACTAAGTTTCAGCCATACATCCTAAGGCAAATTTAATAGCCTAATACAACAGGAAAACACCAGACGTGTAGAGCTTCATACCTCACTGCTTATGGTGGCAATTTCTTTGGGTTTTGGAGTAACTTTTTCTTCCAGACAAGGGAATTTACCCTCATAATACATTTGCAACAAGCTCAGAGCTCTGCTGCCATAACCCATCTGTGAAGAAGGAAGGAAGTTTACGAACAGTGAAGCAGCAATATACAATTCTTAAAATTGAAAAAAAAATCACCACCACCACCACAACAGCTTCCTTCTGAGAAGGACCAAAGCAATTTACAGATTTCTATAATGGTATCACACAGCCACAATACAAGTGCTATACAAGCTACATGACAGTTTGTAGGAAGGAGAGTGACACTACAGAAGAGACTCAGGGCTCTGTCCTACAGCTAACATGTTAGTGACCTCGCTGAAATCACCATACAAAAGCAATGCCCACCAGACCAATTCACCTACACTTGCTGCAGCAGCACCTGACCTTTCCTTAGTGTCTCCCACCCAAATACTGATCCAGCTCCCTTCTGCTCATCGTGCAAGAGCAGCTGAGATGGTATCATTGCTGGCAACTTGTAAATCACATCACCAGACGCTGCATACATTACCCCTTGATAATCGGGATGGACTGCAATACGAACAACACGCCCACCAGAAAGGCTCCCAAAGTCTGGATCCTGGAACTACATACAAGACACACACAGATTAAAGAACATAGCAAAGCATTCTCCATATGAAACATTATATATTATCCTGAAGAAAAGCAAACACCCACAATTATTTACCTGCTCTGAGACAGTCCACGGAATAAGGTCTCCAGAAGCCTTCTTCCCCCTAGACAGACTGTTCAGGATAGATTGGCGAGAGATCTCTCCCTCCAGACACACCTGCCAGGAAAAGAAAAGAGGCTGCGAACAGAGAAAACTTTTTGATCTTGTACTATCACCACCCACAGCAGAGGTAGATAGAAAAGACCTATTCAGCCATACAACCTATCATCCATCTTTTATACTGTGGTAGCTACTAAAAGTCCATTTAAAAGTCTCATGCACATCAGAGCTGCATTTGTTGAATGCTGTACAACCATTAAGTACTACAAATAACAGAATCTGGTCCCAAAAGAACTGCTTCCAACAAAAAGGCAATGATGGATAAAACAATCATCTTAAGCAGATAAGCATAGGAGAAGGGTCTAATAACAATTTTGGGACGTTCCAGCCCTGTAACTGTCTGCAGCAGTAAGCAGGAGCAACCACAACTTGCTACCTATTTTTTCCCCTCGGAAGGCCTTGTAACAAAAAGGGGGCTCCTTAGAAAACAAGCTCAGAGAGAAAGGTGTCCTTGTGTAGCTGCATAGCACCTAGTACAAAAGGGTCTTGGTTAAGACCTGTTGGATTAATGTAACGCCTGGGTGCATGTGCAGAACGGTAACCTTATACATCATGGTTAAACATCCTGTCACCTGTTCCTCAACAAGCAGCTTTATAACTTCATTTCATACATTCAGCTTTGTCACCTACCTGAACAATGGCAAGTACTTCTGGCAGAGAATTCTGGGTAGGTGGAACAGGGGGTAAAAGGCAAAACAGATGATGGGCAGGAGCATCTGAAAGCATCTGGAGGTCACTGGGGGAATTCTGGAGCAACATAAACAACAAATTATAGAATCAATTCTTACTTTGAGGAGAGTTTCAAAGTTCTTCCATCATGACTATGTTCAATTCTAAGTTATCAGTCCTCTAAATCCTGCCTCTCTCCTGTGATTCACTTTTTGTAAAGCATATGCAATTGGAAACACATCAATGGCAATCAAGACAATTCAAGGATGTTATTCCCAGACTACAGGCAGTCCTCCACTTACAACGTTTCACACTTAAAACCTTTATAAATTGACACCCTGTTTCAACTTTACAATGCCAGTTTTGACTTGCAACGCTTGATCCAATGCAATGCCATGCCAGCGAACAAGTTTGTTGTGTTGCTCATCTCCCTGGAGAACATCTGTTCAAACTTCCTTGGACATTTTCTTTAAGAAAGCAGACAAGACTCCAGAAAAACCTGCAGCCAAGACTCCTGAGAAGACTCCAGCCAAGAGCCCTTCAAGAAGTCCAAAGTCACCTCAAAGAAGTCCTTTTAAATCAATATGATTGCTATTTACAATATAAATATATTAATGTAGCTATATTACTCATCTATAAATCGATCGAGTACAAAATTCTGGGGTATTTTTGGTGAAAACAGGGTATCCGGCCTTGGTTCAGGAACCAATCCCTCATTTATAAAATTGTTTCTTATGAGAAAATTGGTTCCGAGTTGCAACGTTTCGACTTAAGAGACAGTTTTCAGGAACCAATTGTGCCGTAAGTCCGAGGACTGCCTGTACATTATTTTGCATGCTTTCTCCCCAGTATACATAAAAAACATTAAGAAACGCTGTGCATAATACTGTTTTGCTATGATACTTTGACTTTGGAAAACAAATCAACTACTACTGAGTACTGAATTCAACACCCCCCCCCCCCTCAAATTGTAACATCTTTTGTGGGTTACCACTATGACTCTCAACATTAACAGAAAGCTGTTCAAAAATCCAGTTCTTATTTACCGCAATAACACCTACTGAAAAGAGCTCATCAGCTACATCCAATTTGGCTATCAAGCTCTGTGCAAGGGTAATGACCGTATCTAACATTATACTAAGTATCGGGAGTGAACCCAGGATCGCCTGCAAGAAATAAACCTCAGGCCTTGACACGTCCAAGTTAGAATTCATAGAAGGCTCTGGAGTAGGACTGAATAGCTCAAGCAGCGGCCCCGAGCCCACAGCCCTAGCACTGCATCTAGACTTCCTAGATACAGAGTCAGGCCAACAGCTCAGACACCTTCTAGACCCAAAATACTGCTTAATTTGCAATTGCAGGCAGAAGAGAGGAAACAGTGGACCTGGGCTTGCTTTAATCTAGAAGCTGCACAGACTTAATTAGTCTTGGAGATTTCACAACCAGGAAGGCTTACTCCAGAACCTTATGTTTTTATGGGCAAAGAATGAATGTAAGCTGTAAGAGGACAGAACAAAAACAGTACTGTAAAAAGCAGAAAGCAGGGAATGGAGATAACTTTTTCGTGCCTTAACAACCTATGGTAACAGCATACTCAAGACAACTAGACCTTTCTAAAAACCACAGAGATTTCGACAGTGCTGACCAACATGGCAACAATACTACCTTGTAATGTGAAGCTACGTAGAGGGCCATCAGCCGCTGAAGAAAAATTTCTGATGCCTTGTGGTAACAGAAGAGGGTGTCTCTATTTACATAATATCTATGTATACTGGTCAAGAAAGGAAACAGCCAGAGATTCTTCTATGGATTTATCAGAGCCTGCAGGCAATTCTCCCTATGCTTTTACAATATGAGCTAAGTGCCCTCATATGCTGTCAGCATCTTCCCAGCAGGAAGGGCAGATGCCTTATTCTTTAGGCTTAAGCCTCCTTGTGCTCACTAAACCCACACAGCACAGTCAGCACTAAGTGAGAACTTCAATTTTTGGTTAAATGTATGAAAAAAGTTAAAGTAGTTAAATGCATGCTCCTCTCTACTTAGAGAATACTGACTAAAACAAAGGCATTATGGTTAATAGAAAAAAGCCTTCCACTCACTACAATGAACTTTTTCATCAGGTCTCTATGACCTAGACTAGGGTATGGTTAGCTCTTATTCTGGTATAAAAAGGAGAGAGAGTCAACTGTGCCACACACCAGTACAAAGAAGCTGAAGTATAAACTGCACTGGGGGGGAAACAAGAATCCAGAGGGACCCAACCTCTCAGCAACAGTCTGGTCAGCCACTGTTAACCTCTTGCTCACCCTGCCATAATTAAGAATAAGCCATTTAATAACAAAGGGCATTGGTTTCAGCAAGGATACAGGTCACAGGTTTCAGGTAATGGACAGCCAGAAATGATCCTGGTGATATTGAGACAATCCAAACATAGCAAGTCATTGAGCCATTTTTCCACAGGGTCTCCGGGGGCATATCTGATTGACTCATGCAGCGAGACCTCATGCAATGTACGAGCTGCAAAGAGAGATTTAAAAGACAAAAAACAAGCAGTTTTGAAGTTGAAGTGATGGCTGATAAAAGAATCAGACACAATCAAGACCCTTCAATGCCTGGAGCTGGAAGAGATCAGAAGTAACACCTGCTCAGGAAAAAAAAAAAGAAAAGAAAAGAGGAAAAGAAACCATGACAGTCTCTGCAGAGACAACCAAACACTTTTTTTCTTAAAAGGGAGCTGCTTAGCCTACTTCCACATTAGATTTAATAGGGGTGGAGTGTAGCTGCAGCCCTGACTGCGCAGGAAATATGCAGGCAGCAAGGTGTTTTGGTGAGGTTAGCCCAAAGGCCCAGTTACAGAACAAGTCTCTTGCTATTCCCCACCCCCTCCCAGCCTGTAACTGCAAAAGTTCAAATATACAGGCAGGAAGTAATCTTTTACAAGATGTATTAATAGAAGAGGTGCTGGTATTTTGAGTTAAATATCTGTCCTCAGAGATGTCAGCCTTGCATGGTACCTGAGGCAAGTTTCGTTGTAGCTGTTGATTTGTTCTCTGCTGTCATGCTGACTTGGGCTTGTGCACTCTGCTGCCGCAGCTGCTGAATCAGCTTCAGGGATAATGATCGACCAGTGCCTTCATACCTAAGCAATTACATCAACAAGCAGCAGGTGAGAGGAGTGCGAACCAAACCCCCAGCTACAACCCTCCTGCCTCGCTCCCTCCCCTCTGAACTGTGGGGGGAAAGGCTCCAATCCAAAAACTAATGGCATTATCTCTGTTCTGGTGTTATTACTATGTTTCTTGTGGCCTTGCTCTACCCATGAGATGCACACAAAGGCACCAAAATGCAGTAACAAGGGGGAGGAAAGCCCAGGCAAGACCTTTTATGCTGTTATATACCTACTAGCCAATTGCCTGTCAAGAATGACATGGGAGGTGGAGGGGGAGAGAGCCCCGTGTCCGTGTCCCATCCCCACCTCCCACGGTCCAGGCCCACTCCCCTCTTGCTGCTTGTGGTCCAGGCCTGCTCCCCGCTTCCCCGTGGCGGTGGGAAGAGGGCCCAAGGGTGGGGAGAAGTCGGCTTGCTGTGGTGGTGGGGGGGAAGCAGCAGGCCCAGGCTGATGCAGCGGTGGTGGTGGGGGCATGAAAGGAGAGGGGGAGGCCCGCTCCTCCCCCTCCCACACCATGTCAGGCTGGGCCCGCTGCTTCCCCCCCCGCCATGGCAGGCAAGGTTCTCCCCCCCCTGGGCCCACTCCACTCCTCCTCCCGACCCCATCCGCTCCTCCCCACCCCTGGGCCCACTCTTTGCCTCCCGACGCTGCGGTGCACCCGCTGCTTCCCCCCACCGCTGCCACATCAGCCAGGCAGGCGGGGATGACAGAAGGGGGGAGGGGGCAGGCGGTGATGACAGAAGGCGGGAGGGGCAGGCCGAAGCTAGTGCCGGTGGCCTCGCAACCCCTGCAGCATCCCGACCCCGCTCTCCCCTTGTGCTGCTGCCACCTCCAAGGAGCAAGGGGGGGGACGGGGAGGGGCAAGGCCAACTCTGGTGGCCTTGTCCCACCCCATCATTGCTGCCTGCAGGGAGCAGGGCTGCCGGCGCTGCCGGTTGCTGCTGGCACCGCCTCCGTCCCCTGCATCTCTGCCATCGTGGCAGCGCTCCGCCGTGCTGCCACCTCCTGTCCCAACACTGTATTTGCACTCTGATTGGTTGTTTCAGTCAGCTGACCAGAGCGCGAATAAAGCATGACAGAGACAGACAGACAGACAGTTGTATAATGTTAGAGTACTGATGATTGCTCAAGGACTTTCCTTTATGTCTGCACAAACCACCTCACCCACTACTGAAGGGCAGACATTGGCAGAGCAAGAGAGCAGCTTTTCTACAGCAGTGCCCCGT